GAAATATTCAAAGTCACATTGGATTGGTCTCTGAGCAACCTGACCTGATTGAAGATGTCCTTGCTCATTGACTTAGATGAGCTTTAAAGGTCCCTTTCGACCTATGCTATTATATGATTCTATGCAGCACACTTAAGAAAGGTAACATACTTCTGTCAATTTGAAGAATTGAATCAAAACATCTGCCTTGACCAATAGGTAAGATATTACATTAAATAGGTTATCTATTATAGGTAGATAATAGATATTATGTTAGGTTTGTTATTAGCATAATTAGAGGAAATTAAGAACAAGGAGAAAATTATTCCTGTTGCTTGCCAATGGTTAAGTGGACTGGAGCCTAATGAATGCCACAGATCAGTATCTAGACATCCATGTAAACATGTAATAAGAATTATTTGTGAGTTTTCATCCTCTCTTTTTCTGTACTTAGTTTGAAGCATCTACAGGGGTATCAAGTGGGTATCATCCCAAAACAGATGATACTTCAGTTTAGGAATATAGGGCTAGAAAGGGATTCCCAGGTCCATAACTCCAGTCTCCTGACAATGAACTATTTGTTTTTGTGAATAGCTCAAATTTTTCCTGTTCCTTTGCAAGTAACTGTCAATTGCCCTTTTTCAAGGAAGGTAAGTTTGACTTCTGAAAGTGTCAAAAACTGAGAATGGAACTGGGGACATTGCAGAAGTTGAGACATTAATTAGAAGAAACTGCCTGTATTCACCTGAGTCAGAGCATGGCAGAACATGCAGGTGAGAAGGAAGCAGTCCTTCCTCATCAGTGAGGAGAGCGGGAATATCCTGCTCCACCAAGGAGCTTATCTGGAGCAAAGCCCACAGGCTGCAAAGGCTTCCGGGAGAGTTTGGCCCCATCTGTTCCCAGAAGTTCCTGACACTTCTCTGCCATGACTTTCTGCCAGTAACCAGAGCTGTTTTGCTGGGGAGCTTTCTATATGCACCTCCCTGGCATTTGTCCTCTCTTACATCAGCCCACTCATAGCATAACCTCTCACACCAAGGTGGCCTTGTTTTGTTGGTGAGCTACCTGTGCAGCTGGAAGTGCCTTCAGCAGACTTGTGTCCTGCTGACTTTTTTTACTATTTACAAGCTGCTCCTGGAAGGCCTCCAGTGCTGCTTCTCTGGCATCAACTCAACTTTTGCTTTCAGCTCTAACTGCTCTAAACTTCAGCACACAGCTCCATTATCCAGGTGGGACTGAGGGAAAGTATTTGGTCATGAATTTTGACTATAAAGCATTGCATCCAGCAGAGCTGTGTCAACAGAACTGGAAACTCCATTATTTCCTCTTCCACACCAGCCACTGAAGGAGTAGCAAAGAGAAACTTATGACCTCTCACAGCCCTCTGGAGCCAGAATTTAAGTCATGCATAGCAAAATCTCCTCTTGGTTTCTGAAGGATGGCCTCTGCCCTCTGCTATATGACTGGGATGTGTGCTTCTAGTCGCTGCTTCACCCATGGATGGAAACAGCCTGCCTCGCAGAAGTCACCTGTGTGGGCAAAAAGGCCGGGTGGGGGATGTGTCTGAAGTTGTTACTTACTGATGAATTATTTATTTATTTATTACTTTTTAAAAATCTTACTTCATCCTGCAGATCCAGAGTGCTCAGCCATCAGACTGGTGACACATAAAGTGCCCCTGAAAGATACTCGAGATCAGAGAAAACAGACCTTCGCTCTAGATGCCATCCAAGTCCTCTAAGTACCTTATTGTTCTCCCCATGCTGGGCTATGATATGTATTGTTGACTTATCCCAAATTCAAAGAGCTTTCTTGAGAAACTCTGATGTTTGTCCAAAAGCTAATCCAAGAGAAGGAATCCTAAGTGTTTCGTTATTGTACAGTGATAAGAGCAGGAAAGGAGAAGAGAGAGCAAGAGAAGGAGAGCAGGGAACTGCCATCCTGCAACTTTGGGACGAAACCCTCCAATTTCCTGGATATTTTTTCAAGGACATCTGCTCCAGATCCTGCCAGGCAAGCAAGCTACAGCAGCTCCGACCTACTGTGCCCCACCAATCTGGCTCAGCTTGCTGCTGCAGGACAGTGGGGAGCTCTGTGAGAGGTGAAAATACCCATGGGTTGACTGGGGAGTCACCACAATCAGCTCACCTCTCACAAACAGAACTTCTGGTTCAATGTCATGGTCCAGCCACTGGATTGATTCAGATGCCTCAAATATCCACCCAAATAAATAAGTTTGTGCCTTTTTACACTCCTTTATGGTACACAAGGAATAGCAAGGAAGCCAGAAGGTTGATGGTTTGCTTGTTTGGTGATGGGAGTGGGGACATATTTGAGATTGGGTGTGGATATGATTTGCTTGGTTGGTTCCTTCTTACACTGAGAAATTTGAGTTCTGCCTTACCATGGTCAAGAATGTGGAGAGAGCTCAGAAAATGAATGTTTATTAACAAAAAGAGGAAGAGATCTGGAATGGGGATTTTTAAAACATGTTGGGCTTGTTTATATGTATCTAATGAACTTTTTGGAGACATATAACTCTCATGGACATCAAGCAGTTCACCTCAATGGGAGTAACTCTCTTTCTCATAAGTCCTACAGGCAAAAAAGAGACATTTTAACACTTTCAATATTAAAATCAACCCAGAGCACACTACAGAAGGATTACAGGGACTGTCCCAAAGTTGCCATGCCTGGCCTGGTGCCAGGGGCAGCTGTGTGCCACCACTGCAGTAAAAAGCCCTGGATTCTGCCAGTCCCATGTCAGCCCAGCCCAGCAGGCATGGGGAGATGCAAAAACCCCCACACTAAGCAGCACCTCTTACACCCGCAGATCCTTTGTGATTAATTTACTTATTGATGGTCTTTCATAACTCCGTGGTCATCTTTTTTTGCACTGCCATTAATTATTCCTGGAAGCAAATAAAAGGGCCCACCGATATCTCTCCCTCCTCTCACCGCAGCCAGCTTTTCCTTAGGGAGAAAAAACTTGTACTCGTTTGCAGTGGGACAATGCCGACTTTTGAACCTCTAACCACTAAACAAACAAACCTTGTGCTCTGCTCCACAATCCAAACAGGGTTTATTGACAGGCGTATCGCAGCAACGCGCAGCAGCTCCGGCAGCAGCCGGCCGGGATCAATGCTGCGGGGGTGGCCCTGGGCGCCAGAGGACATCCTCGAAGGGGTGGCACCACTCGGGCCTGCTTGCACCCTGGCTGCATCATGGCTACTGCCATCTGAGAGCCCCCATGCCTGGGGAGACCTCAGAGGAAGGAATGGATCATGGTGCCTGCAAAGTCCTCCTAACATGGCCATTCCTCGTGCAACTGCTCTCCTCTGGTGCTGCAGAGCCGAGACCCCTCAGTTTGGGTGCTGCTCAGCTTTAGTTGTTCCCAGGGAAGCAACTCCTCCTGAAAGTTCCAAGGACCCTTTAGAGTCCAAGAAAGATGGATCTGGCTCCTGCCTCCCTCTGATCCAGAGCAAACCATGGACATTGGACCCAGCAAGATGGGCTGTGTGTCAATCCCATGTGCAATGAGCATTAACTGCCTGGGTGCTGCACCCATGTCTCCTGGCCAAACCCACTCCAAAGACTATGCACATGGTACAAAATCAAGCAGGTTCCCTGAACTGGAGGTGCTGACTCCCACTGTGGTCTTCCCACAGGCACAGGAGCCCTGAATCAGGTTTGCATGGCCAACTGTCCGTTGTCAGATTGTCAGCTCCTGGCTCAGCAAGGCATGGAGCTACATGTAGCCAAAATGCAGTACAAAGGCTTTGGGGCTGGTCCTTACAATTTCCCCGAGTTCTCTTAGGCAGAGAGAGCTACTGTGTCAGTAGGGCCAGGCCCTGGCAAACCAGTTGTCCCCATGCAGTTCTGTAGATACTTGTTGGCATTTGTCTTTGGCTTTTAACAAAAAGATAAGAAAGCTTCAGTAAGGAGAAAACCAAAGTGCCTCAAAGAAGGCAAATGGAGTAACAATGTGGCCACCCCAACCTGTCTGCATGGCCTCACTTCTCAGTGGGGTTTCTCCCAGCCATAAGTAAAAAGTACATATGGCAAACAGCCACAGACATCTGTCCAATCAGCTGGACTTTTCTTATTTTCACCTCTATCTAAGGTGAGTTGTTTGGCATTTCTACTCCAGTCCCCACCATCTAGCCAGCGTGTGAAAATGGGCCATAGCAAGTGCAAGGTGGGCTCTGGTATAGCACAGGCTCTTCTGAGGATTTCTGTTCCTGGTGGAGCTGTGATGAAGTCTACAGAAAGCTGATAAAATCAAGGGGACTTTGGAAAACTAACAAAAAACACCCCCTCCAAACAAGATAAAAATTGTAAGGATGTGAGAAACAGCACATAACATAACCAATGGGACATTGCACGTGCAAACAAGGCTCCTCACTCTAGCATGACGGGACACCTTTTCCAGAAGAAACTAAATTCGTCCAATTTCTTTGCACTACAGCTAATAAATCTGGCTGGATGACTATCAGCACTGGATTTATGGGCTCTTTTACAAGTGTCTGACATCAAGCAATTCACTTCTGAACATTTAAACAGTGCCTTATCTTGTCTGTTCTGACCCTTAGGGCAGGATGAACATTTTGCATATTCCCAGTGATTGCAAGAAGAAAATAAAATAAAATATAAAATAAAAAAAGTGGTTTAATTTTTTTTTTCCTGTTAAAATTCGTCATTAGCCCAACAACATTTCTAAGGTCTTTTGGACCGATCCCTGAGATATACCGGGGGTTGACTGGCAGGCAGTGCCCCCATTTTATCTAACAAATTCTGGGGTAAAAAAAGCACCCAAACATAATAATAATAATATTAATAAAGCGATGGACACGCTTGCCCCGGACGACGAGACACATACACTGTACACCTGTACACACGGCCGGCCCCGTGGGGCGGTGTAGTGCATCTTGGGGGGCCGTTCCCACCGTGCCCCCCAGCCCGGCTCGGCCCGGCCCCGCTGCGCTCTCCAGCAGTCCCTGCACCGCTGTCCCCGGCCTCTGTCACTGGGGGGCGGCGGGGCCGAGCCCGGCGGCGGCGGCCCCGCCGCGGGACCCTGCAATGAGGCGCTGGGGCTGAGAGGCTCCGCGCCGCCGGGCTGCGCCTGCTGCAGCTTCTTCTTGTTGATCTTCCTCTCCTTCGCCCGCCTGTTCTGGAACCAGATTTTCACCTGCCGGTGGGAGACAAGGGAGTGAGGGGGGGCAGTTTACCGTGGATGTGACCCGTCTCAGGGGCTCGCACCGAGAGCGCATCCCAACCCCGTGCATTCCGCCCCCCGTGCAGCCCCATCCCGTGCATCCCTGCCTCCGTGCAGTCCGGCCACACGTGGGGAGCGCCACTCGTGGGACAGACCTGCCTCTCCGACAGCCCCAGGTTGGAGGCCAGCTCCGCTTTCCTCCTGATGGTAATGTAGCGGCTGTAGTGAAACTCCTTCTCCAGCTCCAGCCGCTGGTGGTCAGTGTACACGACTCTGTACTTGTCTTTCGTCCTGGTTTTAACTGCGGAGAAAAAAGCCATGGTTGAGAAAGTCAAAGCCAAAGGCTCTGGTCGTGGCTCTCCCCCCTGTGGCGCAGAATGATCAGGAGCAGTTCTCCCACCCACCTCCTGGGCTTCCTGCTCTCTTCCTCCGCCCTGGACTCTACTGAGCGCAGCAGAGGAGAGAGAAGACGTTCTGCACTTTCTTGGGGAATGGGATACAAATCCCAGGCATGCCGCAGGTAAGGGCATACCAGGCGCAGGCTCTCAGCCTCAGCTGCCAGCCCTGGCCCCGCCACACGCCCCTGCCTTGCGCGGGGACACCTTCATTGTGCACTTGTTGGGTTTCGGTTTTGTTTTGCCTTCCCCAGCGAGAACAAACTTTTTATAGAGAGAGGGGGAAAGGGAAAGAAAGAAAAGTCCCTTTCAGGACCCGGGGATTTCATTTCTAAACTAGAAACACCGATCCAAGGGCGGAGAACCCGGAGCGGCCGCGGGGACAGCTCGGGTTCCGGCCCAGCTTCCCCTTTTCTGCTCTGGCGTCGGCGAAGAGACTTAAGGGGTTTCTTGGAGACCCCGGAAGTGTGACTTGCAACTTGAGCGCTCAATTAAAAACAAAAACCAAAAAACCAACCAACCAAAAAAAGCTAACCGAACCCCGAAAATTCAAAACCCAACAAAATCCGAAAGCGGATGCCAGAGAGTGGCCGGTCAGAGTGCATCGCCGCAGCCGGTGACCTCCTTTCTCCCGAGGGTTTCTTGTTTAACTGGTTGTGTCCCCTGCCCTCCCGTTCCCCAGGGAGCCGAAAGGGAGTCTCTGCCCCCAAGGTGCTTAATGGCTAGCAAGCTGACTTTGTTCAGGTAAACTCTCTGAAAACCACAACAAAAGCACCCTGTAAAGATACAAGCCTGATCAGAGAAAACTCCCTAGAGCCAGTGAATAGGGAACACAATCCCAAACAATGCAGGACAAGGAGATCTTATCAAAGAAAAACCCTTCTCAAAGCCTTAATGACAGCCACATTCTGTTTGAATTACCACTACTGAACAAATGGCGGCAGGCGCTTTCATCCCCCCAGCTCTGCACATTAACATAAACACTGGCTCCAAAGGCAGAATTTGAATGGAGACAAGGGACCGGCCACCGCCGCACAAGCTCAAACTGTGGGAACACCACGGGCTGCTGTGGGAAGAGCGACGGGCCTGTAAGAGCTCCACTGCCA